GCATATATATATCTAGATCTTCTCCTCTTTCATTCCCCTTCTCTTCTTTACCTTTAGATTCTAAGAGATAGCCGAATCGATACTTCGTCTACGTACTAAGCTTCCCACCGTGCTGTCACACTTCCTGTATATAAACCCCTCGTCTCTCTGCTCTTCTTCTCTCCTTACCTTGTTATTCTAAGTTATAGTAAATCGACCTGAGTTCCGTCCACTTGAGATTGACTCTTGCCCGTGCTGTAACAAATATAAAAAAATAAATATATCGATTTATATAATAATTTTGTTCGAATATTTAAATTCGTAGTGAAAATATATGTGATAGACTAGATCAGGTTGAGATGCAAGAAGTGATCCATTCTTAGAATACTAAGGTGAATGTGACGGGTTGAACCCGATATTTGGCTGCACTACTACGTAGTGCAGCCTACACGTGACTACGTGTCACAGCGCCGGCTGTTACGGATCACCTGAGCCCATCGCCTGAGCCAATCGCCTGTCCTAATCGCCTGTGACAGAGGCCAGGCCGGGAATGGTGGCGTTCCCGAGCTTTAAGCCTAATGGGGCTTAGCTCCTCACCTGACATCCCCTTACTTCTGACATATATATGTATATAGATCTCTCCTCCTCTCCTTTCTTCTCTCTTTAGCTTTAGATTCTAAATGAATAGCCCGACGTTGCGTCGCCACCTCACACCATCGTCACAGTGCTGTCACACCAATATATGCTCAACTATTATAGTCTATAATGACTGCACAATGAGTGATCATTCAACACCCAGAAGCTGCCCTGTAAACTCCTCTATGAGAGTGATGAGCACGACCGCAGCGGCTCATATAACTGGATAATACAATTCGTATTCACCAACGGCGAGGAGTGGATAGTTCGATTTCCCAAAGGCCCCAAAGTCAAGCATCCCGATGAGAAGGTTGAGGCTAAAGTCTCAACGCTGAAGCTCATTCGAGACAAGACGGATATCCCCGTCCCTGAAGTCAAAGCCTGGGGCTTGGCGGCTGAAAATAAGTTTGGGCTAGGCCCATTCATCATGATGTCAGTCATTAAAGGTATCGACCTGGAGAGCATTCTTCGAACACCTGACTCTAAAGCCAGACTTATGCGGCAGGATATCGGTGATGGAGTCGCTGCAACAATCTACCGTCAAATTGCCAGGTATATGCTCCAGCTCTTTAAGCTCGACTTTCCCCGGATCGGCGGCTTGTCGAAATCACCCATATCGCAGAGGGCTGTAGGCTACGCTGCGGCGATAGACTCACGGCCCTTCACGTGGAGGGCACATGAGGCCCTGGTTCTCGGTGGAGTTGATACTTACTGTACGTTTCATGATCTGAGCACTACCTCTCGTTAATACTAATCTCTGCCGTTTTATGTATTTTAGGCCCAAAAGCCACAACATTCTCGTCCACTGCCGACTATTTCGCCTATGTAGCCGAGGGGGACCTACAGCAGCTCTATCAGCAACCAAGCGCGGTCGACGACGAGACAGATGCACGAAAGAAGCTCATCTACTGGGAAACCTTCAAGTCCCTTACGAACATGGGGACAAAAGTCCGTGCGTTCAGGGCATCAGAATCATGAATTTTATTAATTAATTAGCTGTAGACCAGCCACATCGCTTAATTAAGTCGTGTACCCAGAAGTCCTGCTGCTCAATAAGCC